GGCTATGGTGGAGCTCGCCCGGTAGGAGGAGGAGGGAGAAGGACTGAGGGAGGAGAGTGACGAGGTACTTACCTGGCTATGGGAGACACCATCTTCATCACCTTGCTAGGCGCTGCATCTGGAAGGCCCCGTTGGGGTAGTGCCGCATCAAGGAAGCTCAGGGCAGACTTAGGCATGGCGGTTGAGTGAGCAGCTTCATAGCTGCCAAGTGATGACCTTGGAACAGTGGGCAGCGGCATAGCTGCTGGGGTTGTCTGTTGCAAAGGAGGGAGAGACCTCCACACTCCGCCATTGCCAGGCCTATGGGTAGAGGGAGAGGAAGGTGGCCATGGCTATGGTGGACTTCATATGGAGCCTGAAGTAGAAGTGGGATTCGGACATTGATTCTGGTTCRTGCCATTCAACATTATTATTGTTATTTTTGTTTGAATAAGAGAGGAGGAGATAAGGAGGAAGAGATTGGTTGGCGGAGAAGAAGAGCCTTGTCTTTGTTACATGCTGGAGTGCATCATCCTCTTCTATCTTACTTCTTCATCTTCTTCTTACCCTCTCTCTCCTCTCTCAAGTTCATTCATTTCTATTTGCAATGGATGGCATTGTACTTTTTGATCTTTGTATACTTCGCAATTGGCCAGGATCGTAACATTGGTATTGGAGCGGATTCTACTTCTTGGCGAGAGTTGACTTTGCCGCCATAACCCTAACGTAAGTGGTTAGGGCTAACCACTTAGGGTTAGGGCGGAAGTTAGGGTTAAGTGGGGCAGCGTGGTATAGGGAAGCTGCCCCCACCTGGCAGGGCCGTGTAGGGTCGACATGAGACCCGGCCAGGTTGTTTGTGAGCATGTATGTGGTGGCGAGACACAAGGTGGGACTTCGTGATGCAATTGTGAGAGGGGACAGTGATGGGCACCTACAACTGGAATCTGGACTTCAAGGGAGTTGAGGAGTGACTTTAGGGCTCCCCTCAAGTGAGGCGAACTTGAGGGTGGCAGCCATATCTGCACCTACAGACTGCAAGTTGCTACCTTGATCTTCAACATCGACGGTGGATCCGGCTTTGTACTTTGGGGTAGAGGTTGACCCTCCTAGAGAGTAGGACACTAGTGTAGAGGATGCTAATTGGGTCAGGAGGACTATGTGAGAGGGGGGTGATTTCTTTTCATCTCAAGAGCCCGGCCACTCAGGTAAGTGTCGTGCCACCAGGGTGCCCATGTGTGCATGCATGGAATTGACTGCCTGCTGGGGATCGATGGGTTCTTCTTCCATCCTCCATAGTCTTGATCATGTGTGAAGTGTGTGGACTGCTTACTCACCTGACGAATGAATGGATGAAGTATCTTGCATGCAATGATATATCTTTCTACAGTGCTTTGTCTATTTTGTTTTGAACGGATGTAGTCTGTAGGTTCTTTCTGGGGCTAAATTTCGTTTTTCAATTTGGTAGAGACAGACACTTGACCTTGGTGGAACTCTTGTTGGTTGGGACCCGGTCCTGACTCCACTGTGACCATCTGGGACTCAGCGGGACCAGGCCCAAACAAGAAGGGCCCCTCAGGCCAAATCTGTTGACGTCAGTTACCTTGCTCTATCTGATTGGGACTCAGGGTTCAATGCTTTCGGACCAGGACACTCACTGCGGAGCGGGTCTCCGCTGAGACGTTGTATCATACTTTATTGCACGATCCGCCGCCGGACTCGCACCTTATACACCACTCAAATCTTTCTTGTATTACGTTGCACACTTTGATTCTGGTTTGCTGTATCTCTACGGAGCTGAGTCCGGCTAGGCTTGAGAGGACCTCATACGTAGCCGAACCAGACTATGTGGCTGAATCAGATCTCTCTGATTTTTATTTTTTTATTGATTGAATGTTAACTACTCTCCAGTCCAAATGAATTGCCGCTCCGGCTAGGAGTTCTACCTCTTCTTCTGACTGTCTTGCAAACTGTTTCTTTCACTTGGTTAGTTCATGCCTGCGTCTACACGATCGCAAACAAGAGAGAGAGAGAGAGAAGAGAGAAGCTATTGAGTGTTGCTCTTGAGGGAGTGAGGAGAGGGAAGAGGAGTGTCCGACGAAAAAGGAACTACGGACCCCTCTTGAAAGTTTTACTGACACCCTCGTCCTCCATCATGACAACTGCAGCCGAATGGAAACTGCAGTTGGACGCTGCCCCTGAGGCAGGAAAACCGCAGTATCAGTTCTTCTACGAGAAGACTTTGAAGGAGGAGGAAGAGAAAGAGAGAGATAGAAGGGATAAGGTGCAGGCTCATGAGGCTATCATTAGCACCATATCCGCTTTGACAAATGAGGAGGTAGAAGAGAAAACGGTTCCCCTCCTCAGAGCCTTAGCAGAAGTCCGGATTGCTGCGGACCATACTGGCCAGCTCGCACAAGTGTTTAAACAACTCAAGGAGTTGTGCGAAGACATGGCCAAAATGGCGCAGCAGCACCGAGACCAGCTGCAACAGTTTGCTAGTTTGCAGCAGACTCAGACTGTCTCTTCCCTCACCTATCTTGCTTCCAATGCTGCGTGTCAGTCCGTTCTAGCCCCTCTAACTGCGTCTTCTTCTACTTCTTCTTCATCTTTGAGTGTGACAAACAGCCAACCCGGATCTGCTGCAGGTCCAGACCCTGCTGCCGCTGCTGCTGTTGTTGTTGCAGCGGCAAGTGTTAGTGCAGGACAATCTGGAACTGTAGCAGTCCCGAGTTCGGACCCGGCAGTGGTTGCGCCCAGTGGCAGCTTTGCTTATATCGACAGAAAGGCGGCGCAGATTCCGTCTAAGTATGACGGAAAAGATGACGTCGAGTCTTGGATCAGCTCTATGCGATCCTACTTTGATGTGTTGGGGACACTCCCGACAACTCAGTCGCCTATCCTAGGGACCAATGTGGAGCCCGTCGTAAGGGGTTTCTTGGAAACCCAAGCTGTCCAATCAGGCTATAAGAGAAGAGACCTGAACAAATGGTTGAAGGCTACGCCTGTCACCACACTCGAGGAACTCTTAATCAAACAATATGCTGATCCGCATGCTGCAGCCAAAGCTAGACTCAAACTGGACAAGCTTAAGCTCAGCAGGTGGAGTGGCACCATGCATAGCCTGCAACAGTATGTTAGTAAATTGTTTGCTACGCCAGATCTGGAAATGACTGCACAGTCTTGCTTGGATGTAATTGAAGAAACGGTCCCCTCTACTATTAAAGATCGCCTGGGGCTCGGACTCACCGCATACACTGATTGGTTTACCCTTATGAGGGATCTGGTCAAGTTGGAGGCATAAGACCTCCCGGGTGGATCGGGTAGCAAAAAGACTACCAGCCGCAAACGGTTTCCTGGCAGCAACCGTTTTTCTGCGCACGATCTGCTAGAGGATGACGAAGAGAACTTCGCAGACCATCCTTCCCTTGATGACGATCAAGAGCGAGGTTGCGAGGCCTCTTGCTCTTCGTCAGCCCATGAGTCCGAATGTGTGAATGATGAAGAATCCATGAATGCCTTCAAGAAGACTGCCTACAAAAGTAAGGGACCGAGGACTATGGTAAAAAACAATTCTAACACTATCCTTCTTCCCAAAGGAGCTAAGATTCCACCCAAGTCGGAAGATCCTGCCACAAAACCATGGATAGATCTCTGGATCAGTGAAAGTGAGTGAAAGTCTAGAGTAAAGAAGGGAGTTTGCCTACATTGCACCAAACCGGGACATTCAGTCCAGCATTGCTTTAGATTGCAACAGGGAAACCAACAACGGGGGTAGAGATATCTTCAGCACACTCTACTGAAGGAGAGACGGTACATGTAAGTGCAGGTCCTTCATTGGATCCTGATTCTACTCCACAAACCTCTCCTATAACCCCATGTGATGCTGATTCCAAGGCTGAGAAATTGCACATTCTCTACAAGGAGCCTTGGGTGGAGTCGGAAGAAATTGACTTCCATTCTCTGTTGACGCACTGGGCTCACATGAAGCAAGAACGCGCGCAAGGGAGAACAAAGTTGATCTTCTTCAAACTTCACATTAATGGTCGTTACATCCGTGCGTTGGCTGACGGTGGCGCAACCGCCAACTACTTTTCACCGCACGACATTCGTAAGGCACGCTTGGGTATGAAGCAAGTGACATTGCAGAATCCTTGTCGGACGCAAGTAGGCAACTAAGAGGTTGTCACCTCTACACATGCAGTCAAAGGTGTGCGCACTACCTTTGACGCCGATCACACGATCACGCATGAACTGAACTTCTATGTCCTTGATCAGTGCCCCTTCGATGCGGT